GAGCCACTGAGCCTGGCCTGTTCTTCCTTCTTTATATGCTTAAAAACCTTCAAAAATTATCTCAAGATTATCCACTTCAGGAAAAACTCGAGTCTCATTGATTGAATTGATGTACTTCTCCTCCTTTCCTATAACCTTTTTTTTTTTTTGAGATGGAGTCTCACTCTGTCTCCAGGCTAGAGTACAGTGGCATGATCTCAGCTCACTGCAACCTCTGAATCCCTGGTTCAAGTGATTCTCCTGCTTCAGCCTCCTGAGTAACTGGGATTACAGGCACATGCCACCATGTCCAGCTAATTTTTTGTATTTTTAGTAGAGATGGGATTGCACCATGTTGGCCAGGATGGTCTCGATCTCCTGACCTCATGATCTGCCTGCCTCAGCCTCCCAAAGTGCTGGGATTACAGGCATGAGCCACCATGCCTGGCCTCCTATAACCTTTTCTTTATGTGTCTATCCTAGCACTTCTCACACGGTATTCCATTCATCTGTCCACCTGGTTCATCATACAGATTGTTCCATGAGTTCAAGGATCATGCTGCATGCTGGATTCCCCAGGAAGCTGATTCTGAGATGGAGTGTAGTGTACAAAATGTTTATGTGGGCCTTTGGATCATCACCTCTGGAAAGGAAGAGAAGGAGGAGGTAATGGACCCAGGATGAAGTTAAGCTCTGATTCAAACCTAACAACTGCTTCACCTGACACCATGAAGAGCTCCGGAGCTAGAATGGCCTTTCAGAATTGTTCCAAGTTGGTGTGAGGTAGCTAGGTCTTTAAACTCCTGCCTCCACCCATCAGCGGGTATGGGCCACCCAGGAAGGGACGTGACCAAGAGGGAGGCAGCTCGGCAGCTGAAGCAACAACTGATGAGGCTGACAGCTGAGGGCCACCTGCAGACAGCACTCTCTGCAGCTGGGCAGCACATCCTTTCTCGAAAGAGGATCAAGGTAGTACATCTCCGTGTCCACCATGGACTATATATTTTTTCTTCGCATTCTTAGGGCCTCCCATAGTATATAGCACAAAGCAGACAAAACTAGAGGTCTGTAGGGCAAATTCAGCTAGTAGATAAGTATTGTTTTTTCACTCACAAAGGGATTTTTAAAAATTAGTTGTCAACATTTAAAATAAAAATATTTCATGTTGAAATTATCATATTTTCTAGCTTTTCTTGAAAAATCGAAACATCTGGTAACATCAGATCCTTTTCTGAGATGGAGACTGTAGGCTAGAGTTGAGCTGAGGTTGTCCTCAAACAGGCTTGTGTGTTCAAGATCTCCAGACACATACCTTCCCCACTTCTTGAGGCATGAAACCCTGCCTGCTGCATGCATTTGCATTACCTATTACCTGTAGCCCTTTGAGCTTCCCAGCCCACTAGTTATTAAAGAAATGTTTATTAAACTGAGCTAACATTAACATCACTGCATTATACTTCTCAATGGATATTCATGTACACTCATTTATGTAATCCTTAAAACAACCCTGAAAACTAGGTGGTATGATCGCCCCCATTTTACAGATGAGGACACTGAAGCCCAGAGTAGCTCAGTGATTGCCCAAGGTCCCTGGTTGGGAAAATGGTAGGATTATGACTTGAAATAAAATAAAATGTTTTGATTTTAAATCCTGTGATCCTCCCGCTGTGACACCTGAGGGTCCTGGGATGTTACTGCTGGAGGACAATTGGGTAGACCTAGGTTTTAACTAATCTTGGCTAGGTGGGAAGAAAAAAAATCTTCTTAACAAACTAAAAATACTCAGCAAGAAAGAAATTGGAATATTTCTAAGTTGGCAGCAATGACTGGAAAGGAGACTATTCTTTAAGGACCCTCCTTTTTTCCAGATAGTTTCAAATGAATGAAAAACAATGAAAGCTGCAAGGGAGCGTGGGAGACAAGACAAGGTTGGTGATCAAAGGGGAGAGCTGTGTAGGAAAATAGCAACATGGCAGCATTTTGCACATAGCCACACACTGAAAATGTGTCAACAGCACCAGGTCATTGGTAACTGCCAAGAATAAGACAGAAATAGATTGTTAAATGAGACACAGTATTACCAAGGCTGAGTTGTTTGCCTTACTCAAAATGACAAAATTGTGAGAGGTGTAATGAAAGAAAATTTAACCAATTTACTAGAAAAATGATGGAAATGTGATGACTTCAGTGACAGATATGGATTATATTTTTTTCATTCAACTAAACTTGAATATTTAAAAGGCTTTGAAAATAACATGTTTCTTTTCTACATAATTTTATTTATTTATTTATTTCCTTTTCTTTCTTTCTTTTTTTTTTTGAGACAGGGTCTTGTTCTGTTGATGCGGTGGCACAGTCACAGCTCACTGCAGCCTCTGCTTCCTGGGCTCAAGCAGTCCTCCCAACTCAGCCTCCCAAGTCACTGGGACTACAAGTGCATGTCACCATGCTTGGCTAACTTTTTAATTGTTTATTTTGTAGAGATGGGGTCTTACTGTGTTGCCCAGGCTGGTCTCCAGCTCCTGCCCTCAAGCAATCTTCCTGCCTCGGCCTTTCAGAGTGCTTGGATTACTGGTGCACTCAGTCCACATAATTTTAAATAAAGGATTTTATTTTTTAAAAGAAAATTTCCATTTTATTAGAAATAAAGTTCTTGGCTTCATTCCTATAAAAGGCATTTCTATTGATATATAATTGTACATATTTATGGGGTACCTATGATATTTGGATATATACATTCAATGTGCAATGATCAAACTGGGATAATTGGGATATCGCTCACCTCAAATAGATACCATTTTTTTGTGTGTTGAGAACATTCCAAATGTTCTAACTATTTTGAAATGTATGATACGTTATTGATAACTATAGTCACCCTGCTGTCCTATTGAACACTAGAATTTCTTTTCTCTATATAACTATTTTTGTACTTGTTAGCCAACTTCTCTTCATCCCATTCTTACACTTCCAAAAAACATTTTTGTTTTGTCTTATTATATTGCCCAGGCTGGAGTGCAGTGGGATAATCTTGACTCACTGCAGCCTCTACCTCCTGGGCTAACCAGTCCTCCCACCTCAGCCTCCTGAGTAGCTGGCACTTCAGGCGTGCACCATGCCCAGCTACTTTTTTGTAGAGACCAAGTTTCACCACGTTGGCCAGGCTGGTCTCAAAATCCTGGGCTCAAGCGATCAGCTCTCCTTGGCGTCCCAAAGTGCTGGGATTACAGCTGTGTAATTCACTGTGCTTGGACTAAAAAACATTTTAAAGTTTAATTTGTTTGATTACAGAATATTTATTTCAGACAGGAGAGATTTAAATATATGGGTATAAAGATGAAGGATATAAAATTGTATAATCATAATTTCCGTCACATTGTGTAAATCATATAATGAAGTCTCAGAGGTGACTTTACTACTTTGTAATTTGAATTCACATGTAGATTTTTTAAAACTAGAGCTTGGAAACGGTTCTTGAAAACATGATTGATATGAGTTTTTGGTGGAGGAAGGCACAGCAATTAAGTGGAAAATTACTAATAGCAATTTCCTTAGATTTCATTCGTTGATGTAAATATGATATAGTTAGATAATCTTTTACCACAGTGTAATTCTATCTACTTGCCTATCTGTCTGCATATATATATGGAGATAGAGAGAGAGAGAGAGAAACAGAGTTCTGCTCTTGTTGCCCAGGCTGGAGTGCAATGGCACAATCTTAGCTCACTGCATCCTCCACCTCCCAGGTTCAAGTGACTCTCTTGCCACCGCCTCCTGAGTGGCTGGGATTACAGGCATGCACCATGCCCAGCTAATTTTGTATTTTTAGTAGAGACGGGGTTTCTCCATGTTGGTCAGGCTGGTCTCAGACTCCCAACCACAGGTGATCAGCCCGCCTCAGCCTCCCAAAGTGCTGGGATTACAGGTGTGAGCCACCGCGTCCAGCTCCTGCCTTTCTATAATTTAGGGATACATTATCTTATGGACGGAATTGTGTTCTCTGCCAAATTCATATATTGAGGCCCAAACCCCCTAAGTAAGTGTATTGGAGATAAGGCCTATATAGAGGTAATTAAGTCTAAATGAGGTCGTAAAGTGAATCCCTAAGCTCATAGGACTGGGGTCCTTATAAAAACAGGAAGAGCTATCAGAGTGCTCTCTTTTTTCCTAAATGCACAAAGAGGAAAGGCCTTGTGAAAACATGGCAGGAAGACAGCTCTCTAAAGGGCAGGAAGAGAGGCCTTACCCCAAATCACCCTCCTGGCCTCTTGATCTTCAGCTTCTAGCCTCCAGAGCTGTTGTTTCAGGTTCCTACTCTGTGGTATTTTGTGATGGCCACCCGAGCAGATGTATATAGTAGAAGTGGGAAGACATGCAGCAGCGTGATAAATACCACATTAAGATAGGGCTTAACTCTAGGGCCAAGAATGGGAATGAAACAGAAGACAGGTGAGCATGGGGATCCAAAACATTGCAGAGTTTTAAAGCTAAACATGATCCATTTTCTACTAAAAAAAAGTTATTTTGGGACAGGATCTTGCTGTGTTGCCCAGGCCAGGGTGCAGTGGTGCAATCTTGGCTCACTGCAACCTCTGGCACCCGTGTACAAGAGATTCTCCTGCCTCAGCCTCCCGAATAGCTGGGATTACAGGCATGTGCTACCACACCTGCCTAATTTTTGCATTTTTTTTTTTTTTTTTTGAAAACAGGAATTCCGTTTCTATTTATTTAAAAAGTCCGGATCCAACAGTGGGAAGGGGCCACACCCAGGAGGGTCCCCGGCCGGAGGAGGGCAGGATGGGCAAGACCACCCCCCCATCTGGGGGCAGGCATTGGGGACCCATCCCAGGTAAGTCCCCACAGGGCAGCAGCCTGTGTGGCCCAGGGCACACACCCGGGTAATCTGGGGGGTCCTGCTGTGTGCTGGGGGTGGTTGTCTGTCCTGGTCCCGGGGATAACGGGGAGAACCGCGCGGTGCATGGCTGTCCTCCAATGAGGGGTACCCGCGGTTGTGCGGTCGCAGCGAGTGTTTCTTCTGGGTTCAGGGGACTGGGGTGATTGAAAGCTAAAGGGATGCCACATTTAATTTAATTTTAAAAATTTAATTTTAGGGGGGCTGGAGCCCCCAAGGTGCAAGATGGGACCACGCACCAAAGGGTGGACCTTCAGCCTCTCATCCACGGGGCAGGGTGGGGCAGGGCCGCGCCCACAGCTTCTCCTTTGCATCATGGGCCCGCCCACTCCTTACAGGCTACCTGGGCCAGGATTTCCTTGATGCGGATGATGAGCGTCTCGTGCTGTGCGAGGTCGCGCTCGATGGCACCGTGCAGCCGGGCCATGTAGAAGTTCAGGGTGCCAGAGAGGCGAAGCTGGCGGTGAGCGCCTGGCGCACGGCCTGGAGCTGCTGCTGCAACGCCAGCGTCCGCCGCTCCTCCAGCGCCAGCTCCTGCTCCAGACGCTCGCGCGCGCTGCTTATGCTCTGCGTGTGCCTCTTCAGCACCGCGTTCTGCTTCTCGAAGGCCACGTTCATCTTCCGCAAGCGCCGCAGCTCAGCCTCGCGGGCTTTGTTTTGGTCCAAGAACTCTTCAGTGAAGATAGGACCATCGAAGGTGGAAAAGCCGTCGCAGTCCCCACCCTTGTGTCCGTTCAGGAGGGTGTTCATGAGCCCCGGGCCCGAGTCTTCTTTCTTGATCTTCTTCTCCTGCATCTTCTCCGTGCACATCTTGGAGGCTTCCGACTGCTGGTATGCCCGCAGCTCCTTCATGTACTGCTGCTTCTCTCTCTCCGCCTCATCCAGGTACCGCTGCTTATCTGTTGGCTGCAGCTTGCTCCACTCCACGCCCAGCATCTTGGTGATCTCGGGAAAGGGCAGGTCTGGGTGGCGCGTGCGGATCTGCCCGCGCCGTTTGTTCAGGAAGCGCACGTAGCCGGTGACTCGTGCCTTGGGCCCATTCGGCAGAATATTCTTCCACTTCTTACCCTTGGGCCAGCCGCGTTTCTTCACCGGCTCCTCCTTGTGGGACCCCTTCTCGCCGGCGCGTGGACCCTCGCCGCGGTCTTGCTTGACAGCCACCACGAAGCCACCAAGCTGGCCCAGAGCCTTGCCGCCCCGGACTGTTTGGGGCCGTGGGATATGGCCGCTCCGGGCCGGACCTCCAAAGAAACTTTCCCGGACCTCCCGACTGCGCGACGCTCCAATTTTTGCATTTTTGTCAAGACGGGGTTTTGCCATGTTGGCCAGGCTAGTCTCGAACTCCTAATCTCAAGCAATCCACCCATCTCAGCCTCCCAAAGTGCTGGGGTTACAGGCATGAGCCACTGCATCTGGCCTTAAAATTATTCCTTTTTTTTTTTTTTTGGAGACGGAGTTTTGCTCTTGTTACCCAGGCTGGAGTGCAATGGCACGATCTCGGCTCACCGCAACCTCCGCCTTCTGGGTTCAGGCAATTCTCCTGCCTCAGCCTCCTGAGTAGCTGGGATTACAGGCGCGCCACCATGCCCAGCTAATTTTTGTATTTTTAGTAGAGACGGGTTTTCACCATGTGGCCCAGGATGGTATTGATATCTTGACCTCATGATCCACCTGCCTTGGCCTCCCAAAGTGCTGGGATTACAGGCTTGAGCCACCGCGCCCAGCCCAAAATTCTTCTTTAATAAAAACAACCCGGCCAGGCAAGGTGGCTCACGCCTGTAATCCCAGCACTTTGGGGCGGATCACAAGGTTAGGAGATCGAGATCATCCTGGCCAACATGGTGAAACCCCATCTCTACTAAAAATACAAAAAAAATTAGCTGGGCGTGGTGGTGTATTCCTGTAATCTCAGCTACTCAGGAGCCTGAGGCTGGAGAATGGCTTGAATCAGGGAGTTGGAGGTTGCAGTGAACCAAGATTATGCCACTGCACTCCAGCCTGGTGACAGAGCGAGACTCTGTCTCAAAACAAAACAAAACAACCCAAGTACACTTCTGCTCCTATATGAAAAATAGTATGAACAGGGACCCAGTGCAAGGAGAGACCAGTTAGGAGACTGTCACCTTAGTGCAGGTAAGATATTATAGTAGCCTAGATCAGGGTGCCAAGAATTCAGAGGTGAAAAGTAAATACATTCAAGATCTATTTTGCAGGTAGAGTTGAGTTGCTGATGGATTGGACGTGGAGTGTGAGCATAAGAGAAGAATAAAGGATGACACTAAAGTTTAGGGCCTCCACAATTAGTTGAATGGTATTTCGAATGCAGAAAACTATGATAGAAAGAGTTCTGGCTTGCTCTGAAATTTAAATGCCTATGAGGCCACTCACTTGCTATACAAACTTTATAGTTTGATATATAAGTTCAGATACCAGTGGAGGGGTCAGAGACAGAAATACAACACATACCACTGAATCCATGATGACATTCATTACAAAACACAGCCTGGGCAAAATAGAGAAACCCCATCTCCACAAATACAAAAATTAGCTGGGCAAGGTGGTACATGCTTGTAGTCCCAGGTACTTGGGAGGCTGAGGCAGGAGGATTGCTTGAGTCTGGGAGGCGGAGGTTATAGTAAACTGAGATCATGCCACTGCACTCCAGACTGGGTGACAGAATGAGACACTGTCTTAAAAAAAAAAAAGAAAAGAAAAAAAGAATACTAAAGATCTATGTACTTAACAGCAGAGTTCCAAAATACATTACAAGAAATGATAAAACTGAGAGGAGTAATAGACAAATCCATTTAATATAGAGACCTTGAAACATCTCTTTAACTAATTAACAGAAAATGTAGACAGGAAACCAACAAATACATGGAATACCTGAACAACACTATTAACCAGTTCACATTTATAGAACACCTCACACAACAGCAAAATACATGGTCTTTTCAGTTGCACCTTGAGTATTCACCACAATATACTATAAATGTATGTTTTCTGCTCATAACAGAATTAAACTAGAAACGAATAACAAAGATACCTGGAAAACCATCAAGTATTTGCAAATAAAAATATACTAAATAACTCATGCGTCAAAGAAGACGCCTCCTAGGAAATGATAAAATAGTTTTAACAGAGCTGGGCATGGTCGCTTGCACCTGTAATCCCAGCTACTTGAGAGGCTGAGGCAGGAAGGTCATTTGAGGCCACGAGTTCGAGATCAGCATGGGCAGCATAGCGAGACCCCACCTACAAAAAACAAAAAAAAATTAGCTGAGTGTGGTGGCACATGTGGTCCCAGCTACTTTGGAGGCTGAGGCAGGAGGATTGCTTGAGCACAGGAGTTGAAGGCTGCAGTGAGCTATGATTGTACCACTGAACTCCAGCCTGGTGACATAGTGAAATCCCATCTCTAAAAAAAGAGAAAGGTCTCAAGTTAGTAATCTGTTTTCATTTAAAAAAATTTAAAAAGGCCCGGTGTGATGGCTCACATTGGTAATCCCAGAACTTTGAGAGGTGGAGGCAGGTAGATCACTTGAGGTCAGAAGTTTAAGACCAGCCTGGGCAACATGGTGAAACCCCATCTTTGCTAGAAATACAAAAATTAGCCAGGTGTGGTGGCACATACCTGCAATCCGAGCTACTTGCGGGGCTGAGGCACGAGAATCACTTGAATCTGGGCAGGCGGAGGTTGCAGTGAGGTGAGATCATGCCAGTGCACTCTAGCCTGAGTGACAGAATGAGACTCTGTTCTAAAAAAGAAAAAAAAAAAAAAAAAAAAAGGAAACTAAAAAAAAGAGCAAATGAAACCCCAAAGCTAGCAGGAGAAAAAAAAAAAAAAAAAAGGTAAGAACAGAAATCAAAGAAATTGAAAACAGAAAAAAAAGCCAAAATTTAGTTCTTTGAAAAGATCAGTAAAATTCATAGATATCTGGCCAGACTGATCAAGAAAAGCAAAAACGACAGAAATGACCATCAGAAATGAAGCAGAAGATATTGCTACAGACTCTACAGACACTGAAATGACAATAACAGAATACTTTAAACAACTGCATGTTTATAAATATGACACTTTACATGAGATGGAAGAATTTCTTGAAAAACACAAACTATGAAACTCACTCAGGAAGAAATAAATTACCTGAATATTCTATAGCTATGAAAGAAATTGAATTTGTAGTAGTGGGTCACGCCTGTAATCCCAGCACTTTGGGAGGCTGAGGTGGGTAGATCACCTGAGATCAGGAGATTGATACCAGCCTGGCCAACATGGTGCACCTCATCTCTACTAAACATACAAAACTAGCCAGGCATGGTGGCAGGCACCTGTAATCCCAGCTACTTGGGAGTCTGAGACTGGAGAAACACTGGAGCCCATGAGGTGGAGGTTGCGGTGAGCCAGGATTGCACCACTGCACTCCAGCCTGGGCTTCAAGAGAGCAACTCTGTCTCAAAAAAAAAAAAAAAAGAAAAGAAAAAAGAAAAAAAGAAAAAGAAGGAAATTGAATTTGAAGTTACAGACCTTCTCACAAAGAAAATTCCAGGCCCAAATTGTTCCATGGTGGAATTCTTCCAGACATTTGTGGAAGAAATTACACAATTCTACATAACTTCTCCTAGTAAATAAAAGGACATAGAATGCTTCCTAACTCACTTTATGAAGACAGCATTATATGATACCAAAACAAAGACAGTAAAAGAAGCTATAGAGTTTCCCTCATAAGCGTGAATGCTAAAAACTGAATCTAATAATATATAAAAGTGTAATACATCACAATCAAATAAAGTTTATCCTGAGACTGCAAGGTTGGTTTAACATTCAATGTATCAATGTAATTCACTACAACAACAGACTAGAGGAAAAACCATTTGATTATTTCAATAATTGTAGGAAAAGAATTGAAAAATTTAACACTTATTAATGATAAATTTCTCAACACTCTAGGAATAAAGGATAACTTAACTTCTTTTTTTTTTTTTGAGATGGAGTTTTGCTCTTGTTGCCCAGGCTGGAGTGCAATGGCACAATCTTGGCTCACCACAACATCCGGCTCCTGGGTTCAAGCTATTCTCCTGCCTCAGCCTCTCTAGTAGCTGGGGTTACAGGCACACACTCAGCTAATTTTGTATTTTTAGTAGAGATAGGGTTTCTCCATGTTGGTCAGGCTGGTCTTGAGCTCCCACCCTCAGGTAATCCGCCCACCTTGGCCTCCCAAAGTGCTGGGATTACTGGTGCAAGGGGCCATGCCCAGCCAAGAAGAACTTCTTTTATATGATTAAGGCATTTATAAACATGTATAAGTAACATCATCCTGAATGATGAAAAATTGAATATTTTCTCCAAAGATTAGGAATAGAGTAAGGATGTCGGCTCTAGCACTTTTGCTCAACATTTGTACTAGAAGTCCTACTCAACAGAGTTAAGGCAAGGACAAGAAATAAAATGCATTCAGATAGGAAAATAAAACTTTTCAGATGACATTATTGCCTAACTAGAGAAGCTCAAATAACCTACACACAAAACTCTAGAACTTAAAAATGCATTTGTCAAGGTCTTAGGTTATGAGATCAATATACAAAAAGCAACTGTACTCTCACATAATAGCAATAAACAATAGGAAATAAAAATCAAAATTAGTACCATTCACAATACCTGAAAAAGGGAAAGAAAAAATATACTGGGATATAAAGTTATGTATGTGGAAAACTACAAAACAGTGATGAGATAAAGAAATATTATTTTCATGATTGAAAAATTCAATATACTTAAGATGTCAGTTCTCTCCAGTTCAATGCATAGATTTGATGCTGTTCCAACAAAAATCCTAGCAGGGGTTTTGTATGTATTGACGAACTGATGTTAAAGTTGATATGGATGGCCAGGCATGGTGGCTCACACCTGTAATCCTAGCACTTTGGTATGCCAAAGTGGGCAGATCACTTGAGGCCAGGAGTTTGAGACCAGCCTAGTCAACATGCTGAAATTCTACCTCTTCTAAAAATACAAAAAATTAGCCAGGCATGGTGGTACTCGCCTGTAATCCTAGCTACTCAGGAGACTGAGACAGAAGAATCTCCTGAACCCAGGAGGTAGAGGTTGCAGTGAGCCAAGATTGAGCCATTATGCTCCAGCCTGGGCAACAGACCAGACCCACGTCTCAAAAAAAAAAAAAAAAAAAAGTGTATGGAAAGGTGAAAAAGTAGAATATCCAATGCAATTTTGAAAATGAGCTAAGTTGAGGGACTCATACTACCTGATTTCAAGCCTTGCAAT